CCCATGTCAGCAGGAACGCTCCAAACTCTGCCACACCTCAGGCATTCTGAGAGCTGGCAAAACTAATCCCAAATCCACATCACGCGAATGTTGACTGCATCAATAGCGTCGCACCCTGTGTCACATTAACCCGTGCCAAGGGGCTCTGTCCAAGAACCATGAAGCCGTCGAGGCGCACAGCCTTACGGTAAGCTCGACCGCTTCCGCGCCCACGATACGCGCTCTTCGGCCCAGCAGCTCTGTTCCAGCTATTGCGGCCACAGCCCGGACACCAATTTTAAAAATGAAGACATGGACCTGTCCTTCTGTTGCGGATGGTATTGCAGGAGGCACTATTCTGGTAAACAACGACACACCCGCTATTTCAGATTGGTACCCTGGGGCGGCGTCGCATTTTGCTTGCACACTTCTCGCTCGGTTCTTTGCAGTTGGTGCTCCAGCACTGGCGCTATAGTGTGGCAACACCTCACTTCCTCCGCGCTGTGCTCCGACTCGCGGGCCCAAAAGTTGCACCAGGGAGCGTCGCAAATGTTTTCGGCGCAAAGACAGATGCATGTTACTTTGGGTGGTATTGGAACGTAGAATATCCAACCATCATGAATGATCACAACCGTGAAAAAGCATGATCGACCAAGACGAACCATTTCTCTAAAATAATCAAACATGATGGGGTGGAAACCCCACGGCCTTCCAAAAACGGTTTAAAAAGGGACCCTGCGTGGGCGCAACAACAGGAACTTTCCACGGGCGCAACCGAATCCCTGCACCCCCCGAAACGGGTGAAAAAGGAGCCCTGCGCGGTCGCAAAAAAAACCTTTCGCAAGCCCGGAATGCGCAGCAAACAAACCCTCCACGGGCAGAAGAAGCCCTGTGCGTCCCGAAACTGGCTAACCGCGGTTAAAAGAGAACCCTGCGCGGGCACAAAAAGAACCTTTCGCAAGCCCCGAACGGGCGGAAAAGAAGCCCTCCACAGGCGCAAACTAACCCTGCGCGGGCGCAAAAAGTTCGCAAGCCCAGAACGGGCGGAAAAGAAGCCCGCCACAGGCGGAAAAGAAACCCTGTACATTCCAAAAATGGTTAAAAAAGAACCCTGCGCGGGCATAAAAAAATATATAAACCTTTCGCAAGCCCAGAACAGGCGGAAAAGAAGCCCTCCACGGGCGGAAAAGAAACCCGGTACATACCGAAAAGTGTTAAAAAAGAATCCTGCGCAGGTGCAAAAAGAACCTTTCGCAAGCCCGGAACGGGCGGAAAACGAGCCCTCCACGGGCGGAAAAGTAACCCGGTATGCCGAAATGGGTTAACGAGAACCCTGCGCGGGCGCAGAAGGCACGGAAACAACCCTGCGCAGTCACAAAATAAACCTTTCGCGGGCGCTAAAAGAACCCCAGAGCGGACGGAAAAGAAACCTTTGACGAGCGAAAAAGGAACCCTGCACGTCCCGAAAGGGGTTGAAAAAGAACCCTGCGCGGGCGTAAGAAGAACCTCGACAACAACCCCTCCACGGGTGGAGAAGAAGCCCTGTACGTCCTTAAACCTGGACGGAAAATTAAAGAACCCTGAGCGACGGTCAAAAAGAAAAAACCGGACATCCTGGAACCAGTCAAAAAGGAACCCTGGCGGGTGGAACCTTGAACCTCCCCGCGTCCCTGGCCAGAAAACGGGTGGAAAAAAACCTGGCGGGCGGAAACCTGGACGGAATGGAACCGTGAACCTCGCCGCATCCCTGGCCGGAAAACGGGTGGGGGAAAAAAAACTTGCCGGCGGGAAAAAAACAGCCCAAGTCGAATTATTGAAGTTACCTTGGGATTAGCATTTCTTTGATTGTTAAGTTGCTTTGCGTTGTTGTTTCCAAAAAGCTACTTTGGTTACTCATTGTTGCGCGCGCCGACACAACAAATCAAGCAAAAAACTGTTTTGAGAAGGTCATGAGGTTTCATACCTGAACTCCATGCCAAGTTGTCCGTCTACGCCAGGGATTTCACAGACCCGGAGTTTTACCACAAACTTGAAATCGATGATAATGTTGTGAAACCAATGATAATGCTATGAAATCGATGTACTCCCACCCCCCACCCGACACATTTAATCACACGACTCATCGATGACAATGTTGTGATGTCGTTGACAATGATACAATGTTGCGATGTCGATGACAATGTGTTGTGGTGTCGATGACAATGTTGTGATATTGATAACAGACAAAAAGTACTGTAAATACAATGCATTTTCTACACAATTGCTCGAAACCATGAGAAATACCATAGAAAATGCTTATGACCATGTCGACGCTCTCCCCAGTGGCCCTGCGGACACATAGAAAGTGCTGTAAATACCACACGGAAGTTGCAAAAAAAGTGCTCGAAATGACCCGGCCGTACGCGCGGCAGGCCAACTGACCTACATACCTGCATACCTACACTACATTACATTACATTACACTACTATCCGTGACTGGCAGTTAGAATTCAACATAAGGAATTAGGAATGTAGTTAGAATATAAAAATGTGATCTCGAGCTTCCATGCACTTAGAATCTACACCAATGCACTTAGAATATACAAGAGGCAAAACAAAAGTGATACATCTTAGCTCCTTGACTCCTCAATGATTCTTTCTTTAATGAGGAGGTGCCAACAGATAATGGATGCCAAAGATAATGCATGCTTTGCTTACTGTAGTAAAGTTACAAATGGAAGTGATAAAGATCAATGGTGTTGATTCAATGGCTGCTCCACCATATTCTAACTGCATTGCATTCTATGTGCTATTTCTACCAGGTCTGCCTCAGTGAATTAGATCCTAATTCATGTGTTTCATTGACTTTATATTCTAACTCCTGGTCAGTTACAGTACATTACATTACAATATTACATACCATTGTATTACATCACATTACATTGCTCTACTTTACTTTACTTATTGTATTACACTACATTACATACCATTACATTGCATTGCATTGCATTGCATTGCATTACACTAAAATAACTAATTTAAGCCAAATGACATACATTATAATACATTATATACATATACATACAACGTACAACATACAACAAAAAGAATATAGAGGATTATAGAGGTGCTGGTCAAAAAAAAAAACTTAAAAAGAAATGAAAACGACTAGTGCTCTTTCATCTGAGAGGCTCTATCCACATGTGCTGCGTTTCTTCGCGCAAATGCCCTTGAGATAAGATGCGAGTTCTCTCAGAGGCCACAATGGGAAGGGAAGAGAGCCGCTCATCTTGGCGTTGCAAAGCAACTCCTTCAAAACACAACAAGTCACGCAAAGACATGCCCAAAGCATCTGCGATATCTGTCAAGAGGGTGTCCTTTTGCTTCTGCAAATCTGCTAGCAGACTTGCATTCAAAGACTGCAAGCAACTCTGACAGACAGTGGCCAGGGAGGCTTCAGAGAAAGGCTGAATTTGAAAGCGCGAATTGCTTCGCGAGAAGGATGAAACTGCTCGACACTTGCCACAGGACTTCAAGTGTGTAGTTACTTCATCCCTCATCAAACCTGCGAGGCCATTGAAGAATCCCTCCCAGTCAGGAAATTCTGTCGCCAGTCGCCGAGCTTCTCCGCCGCAAACATCTCGCAGGCATACAAGAGATTCCGGAATGCTCCGCGGTCGCTTGTAAGAAGCCGAGTTCGCTCTGGAGTTCGTTGAGGAGCGAGTAGCATCCTTGCTTTTGGTTGATGGAGTTGAAGAACTCAAGGAGGCCGAAGAAGCTGTCCGTCTTGTTCTGGCCGGAGTTCGGCTGCCCTCCCTTGCGCTGCCTGAGCCCCAAAGGAGCTCAACTTTGCTCTCTGGCCTCGGTGTTGCTCCTCCAAAGGAAGGTGCCTTCCTGCGGGGTGTGCTTCCTCCTGATGAAGCACCTGGAGTAGCTCCTCCAGAGGAGGCCGGACGCCGTTCGTTGCAGGAAGAACGTGGGGAGTCCGCAGGACGACGACGAGGAGTGCTGCCTCCAGCAGGTGAAGCACAAGGGGTGACGTGTCTTGATGATGGAGAGGACCGCTCTGCAGCCTTTGACTGTGAAGCTACAGACTGAGTGGCTCCTGACTTTGCAGACCGCGGTGTTACTTCTCTTGAAGCTCCAGCATTTGCAGAAGATCGTGGTGTTGCAGAACGGGGCATTGAAGATATTTACACATGGGGTGACATTCGAGCCAACTCTGGATTCCGAAAAACAAGCAAAAGTAACAGGTTGAGACTTGCCAGAGAGCAGGGAAACTTCCAGACAAACTGGCTAAGCTCTCCTTTTGCAACTGCATGTTGAGAAATTCTGCGTGCAACTATATCGTATTCTCTTTTGCCTATGGGCAAAGGCCTCGGCACTGCTACAGCGTGCAGAACATGCTCGGCATGATAAACTTCAAAGATCCGCACCCACAGAAAAGAAAGGGTGGCATGTCAAGCATCTATGTTGTTCAAAGTGGTGCCCAGAAATTATGTAGAGTGACATGACCTGTTGTAAGCGTTCACCTATGGGAGCTGAGCAAGATTTTATCAAAGCATTCCAAATATGGTAAAGCATCTGCTTCTCGTTCAACCATATCGTCGGTGAGCAGCTTTCTGCATCTCGCATCATTACATAATTGTTCTGCTAATTCGGCGCAACAGCTACTGTACAAAGTGCGCTACAGGCAAACGGTCTAGCCAAGCACCAGGTTGGAGTGGCCTCCTGGTGCTTGTTTCACCTCACAACATTGTACTTATGGTCCCCTTTGTCTTGCGTTACAAATTGTTGGCACAGCATGTAACACTCCAAATGTCTTTGATTGTCGACAAAGTCTCCAGCTAGATATTCCTTGGAACTCTGAAACACTTGGCTGCTGACCGTGATAGAAGGTCGCTCTGGAGGCCGGCGTGTCGCACGATGATCATTGACCACTGGGTTCTGCCAGCAGCAGAAAAGTGCCGTCGTTTCTAAAAGCAAGGCCGTGAGATGTGTGACTTGGTGATTCAATGATCAGTCATCAACTCTGGCTTGATTCACAGTATCAATTTCTCATGCCTTTGTTGATGCCTACAGAAGGTACCCGTTGCCGCCTCTGCTTGTATGTGACGATCTTTCTCGCCTGATGGAACCATGCTTTACATTCAGCAAAATCTTGCCAACGTGAATATGTTGCCTAAAGATGCCTAAAGAAACAAATATGTCGCCTAAAGATGGCAAAGAAGCTGCAATTGGCCTCAGAGACTGATGGCTCACAGCTTCCGAAAGGAACCTCGCAGAACGCAGTGCTAGTTGTAGCCAATGCACCCGGAATCCGCCGGGACAAAAACCACCGGCTTGGAGAACATACCTGGCGCACAAACGACGCAAAGAGCCTTGCAATTTCATTCACTGCTTGAGCGGCTGACCTGTCAGCTTTTCAATGTGCAACAAGCGATCATTCAGATCCTGGCAGAGAATCAGCTCAAACACACAACCGGTATCAAATCATTGTTCAACGCAGGGACCTTGCAGCAGTCGTTTTGTTTGCATTCCAAGCCTTGACAACTATGTGACGACCTTTTTACTGTATGGGCCTAAAGCACCCCCCGGCTTGAGACTACAATCTCAGCAACCATGAGCTGCACATCGGAAAGGTATGCAAAAGCCTAACAAAGCTTGGCCGTCCTTTTCTCGCTGCTTCTGCCCTACGGTCTCGATCTTGAAAGGGAGACCTCGTTGCGCTCTCTCCACCTCCTCCTTCCGTTGCCTTCGAAAAGCAGGAGTAGAAGATAGAAAGGGCATCAACAGAAAGTGCCCATCTGAGAGTGTGTGTATATATATATATGATTATATATGTTTGTTTCATGATGTTTTCAAAAAAAATCGCCGGCATAGACCCTACATACCAAGTAGGTCTCAAAGCACAGGCAGACAAGCCGGGAGACACTTCAGTGGGTGTCGAAACTGCAGTTTGGGACCGTTCCACGAGTTCGCGCGCAGAACTCAATGGGCTAAGGCTGTGGCGAAAATGCTATCGAAGATCCTCGTTTGGGAGAGAAGAAAGGGGACGAGGCAGCAGCGGCAAACAAAACGCCGGTCACACAGGCAGACAAGGAGACAAGTGGGAACATAAGTAAGGGGACAAGGCAGCAACGGCAGACGAAACGGTCATTGAGAAGAAAGCACCCGTATAGCTTTCAGCTATCTGGAGAAAATACTATATGCTATAAGATGAACAACTAAGATGTTAGGAAAAAAGCAACTCCGACAACCTCCGACATGCGACAATGAAAAACACCTGCGTTTCAGAGGGCTTTGCAAAGCATGTTATAAGTTATAAGTGTAGCACAATCCGGCTGCAGTCGCTGTGTACAAGTTTTTCCTTGCTCCAACCTTAAATCCTGGTATAAAACAGCAATGTGTTATGGTTTCGGTTACTATACAGTAGTTCATATTCATGACCGCTTCCAGGGCCCTCACAAGTGTGCAGACAAGCCAGCAGCAGCAGCAGACCAAGTGCCGGAGACAAGGCCGGCAGGCCGCGTGCCGATCACACAACCGGGCAAGTGGGATCAAGTGGGGAGACAAGGAGACAAGCGGGGAGACAAGGCAGCGGTGGAGTCGGTGGAGGGAAAAGGCAAATCAGCCACCCAGGCATTGAGAAGTAAGAACCATTAAGAACTCCTTTAGCTTTCAGCTATCTGGAAAAAGAATGATGACTTCCATTCAGCGATAGTTGATCTGTCAGCTTCCATGCCTGAGAACATCCAACGTATCCAGTCGCTCGACCTCGTCAACCTTTCTGTAGCCTGGCCTTGGGTATCAGGTGTGGCTGAGATGGCTAAGACGACTAAGACAGCTAAAGATTCTCAAATACTCTTGGAAGGTCCGAAAATCTGCAACAACTTTTTGAACTCACAAGGTCCGAAAATGTCCTCAGCATGTTGCGGTGGCTGTGGAGAGATGGGCCGTGCAGCTCGTCTCTTCTCCTTGCACTGCAAGGATCACGAAAGTTTCTCAAGCAAGTCACAGTCACGTCACAGTCTTTGATTCTTGTAGATTCAGCTTGTGCTCTGCCATCTTGTCCTCTGCCATCTCCTCCTGCCTCCTCTTCAAATATGCTGGTACCTGACATTGAGCTTCTGTCAAGCAGTTATATACAGTAATGACATTGGGAACCGGCCGAAAAGCGTCAGACTGAAGGCTTTTCTCGCCTTTCCGATACCTTTACGATCAACCGGAGGCGCAGCATCACCTTTCCAAATGAGGGGATTTGGCGGCACAGGTTGCCATGCCTTACCAATCCACAAGGACATCGCCTATGCGGATCTTCTCCGGAGCGCGATTGGCCGAAAGTGACCTTGCCTGAGATCAGTCAAACTCTAAATCTCGATGCACAGCAGGCACTTGCTCACTTGATGCGCCTTTGCACGGGCACTTGGTCCACCTTCCATCGAGCATCAAAGCTCTGGCTGTGGACAATTCTGCTCCCTACCTGGTGCTCTCTTTCCATCAGGTGTGCCAGTATCCTCATCCTCTTGTCTACCTTCCAGGTTAAGACCGGTGTACTTTGTCTTCTTGGTAAAGAGCAGCAAATTTCATCTTCTCAACTCATTCCAGCTGTCCAATACCTCGTGGAGGCTCACTTGGTGTTCTTCGCCCTGGCACAAACATGCAAACCCTGATAGCCTTCACATGACCCAATAGTAGGAGTGTCATGTGTGATGCTCGTGTTTTGCCTCGTTGAGGTGTCGCCACATCTGCTGCTCGTGGCCGCCTCTCTTCACTAGGCCTCTCTCATCTTTCGAAGTCGCATCAAGCAATCGGTCGCTACTAGTAACAAGTGCATCGCTAGTAGTAACTAGTAACAAGTGCATCGCTAGTAGTAGCAAATTTACTAGTAACAGTTCAGAAGTCTCATCCAATCTCTCCTTCTGGGCTGCATAGACCCAGCACTACCCGGACTGGCATTGGTTCCTGCCACAACGCCGAGACAGTGCCAGCACAGGTGTGGAAACAGCTCAGTGGGCATCACCGCTCCTGGTGTTGCTTTGGGCCTTGGAGGACGGCCATAGCCATTCCTCTGAGGTGTCTCCACGGGCGTCCCGGGCGCCCTTGGACTGTCCGCTGTTAACGGAGTTGGTGGAGCCTCAAATGGCAGAGTCCGTGGTGCCTTTCACATCGACAAGTGCACCGCAGAAGTCACTAAGTTCAGAAACCCGATCCATTGGATGAACCTGCGCAACAAAAAGGCACAAAATTGGAGCTGCGTTTCTGAGCAGTCTTTGCATGTCTTGGTTCAACTTGATTTGGTCCTCGAAATACCATGGCTAGTAGGTTGGAGGCCATCGCTAGTAGTTTGGAGGCCATCGCTGTTAAGTTTCTGTTCTGTCTTCTTTTCATGTTTTTCTGTGTGTTTTGGCTTTCAAAAAACCCACCTTGGCGGGCTCCTTGGCCCGGTTCAGCATGATCTCCCGCAGCGACGGCATTTTGGGCGACCACCTGCCAGTGCCAGCGGTAGCTGAGCCTGGCAGCAATCTAGGCCATTCGCCAAAAAAATGAGATTGATGTGAGCTTAAACTTCGATACAATTCACTGCAGGCTTTGTTCTGAGCTTTGTCATGATACAGCTCAAACAAAAACGAATGTGCATCTCTTGGTGAGTTGCTGCTTCGGTTCACATAGTTTAGCAAGCATTCAGTGAGCAGCTTAAATTAATCATGTCTGAATACATGGTGAGTGTGTGGGTGCCTTTGCTTTTCAATGAGCCAGGAGCAGCAACGCGACAGCTTAATGCTGGAGAAAAAGAAACACAAACGCTAGTACCCGGCCAGCTCTTTTGAGTGCCTGTATAGCAGTATATAGCTGCTTATTGATAAACATTGATGGTGATTTTGATGAAAAAAACCGCTTTTCACATCGTCCATTGGCGTTTCTGGTGTCGCAGCTCGTTGTGCTTTTAGGCAAATATGTACACAGGTCTTGGGAAGCTGTCAAAGGACGAGACCTCATCACCTGACATGTTGAAAATGAACAGCGAAGCACACTAGAAAAAAAGAACTGCTCGATTTAATTATCATGTTTACATATAGATATACAAATATATTAGATACACCTATATATATATGTATATTTGTTTTCTTTCTTTACATGTCACAGCTTTGGGCCTCGTGAACAACCTTTCTGGAAGACTATTTCAGCTCCGCCCGCCTCAGCTCCAAGGGCTGCGGCCACTCCGATGTTCCAGCGGCTGTGTTCTCCGAACCTTGTGATGTTGTAAGAGTCAAAGTAAGGCAGGGCAGAAGGGCACAGACTATGCGACACTTGAATATGTCATGTGGCACAAGTGCAAGCAGCCTCAGCAGTATCCCATGGCGAGCGAGGCTGGCTGTGCACTTCCTGACAAGGAGCTTCACGAGGGCGGAAAAAATCGAAAGTGGCTTCTACAAAGTGATCAAAATCATCTGTCTTCTTCCCTCTCCTTGGAGGCTCCAGGCCACGACCTTAGCCAGTTCTTGGGTGATGATCCCACCTGCAGCATCCAAGGCACGAACGAGGGCCACCCATTGGATGTTTGAGATGGCCTTGGCGTCTATGGAGCTTTGACAAGTCTCAAGTCTCGTTGACTCGACAATCAAATTAGAATTATTCCCACAGTATATGATCCTATATGCCTACTGTATATGATGACTTCATCTGAGATCTAGGCCAATCTTTGGCGCCGTATCCCCCAGCCTTCAAAAAGTAGGCACCAACAAGAGTGAGAGCACACAGAATCTTGAATGAATATCAAGATCTAAATGAGATTGTTCTAACTCGCCTCGAATCCACCAAAGTTGGAGCCCACCACTTGGCCGCTCACCACTTGGCCGCTCACCACTTGGCCGCTCACCAGCTGCCCACTTGGCCTGGCAGATTGGTCAGTTGCCTCCGAACACAGATGACCCAACACCCAGTAGAAAGGGTTGTCTAAGCAGGCCAACCTGAAAGGCTGGCCAGACGGAAGGTCAGATGGATAACTGCCTCCTTCGCTCCAGGAACTGTACCTGATGTCAATTTTCCAGGCTCTTTGCTGCAGAAGAGGGCCTTCACGAGTACGTCGTTCAATCTCGTCTCGTGGCTGAGGCAAACGCTTGGCGCGCAAGGAGTTCACCAGGAAATTGGTGGACTCCTTCGCTTGCAAGGCGATCTCCTGGAAACAGAGATCAGAGAGAAACAGAGCGGAAAAATGGAATTCCTTTAAAACGGTCTTCTGCACACGCAAGACATTGACGTGTCACCAAATGTGGGAAAGCAAACATAGTTACTTCTGAGGTTCTTGTTTGGCTCTCACCGTGTTGCAGTGGCTGCTTGCGTCAAAAGCATCGGCTAGTTTGGAAGTGTTCCTCCCTTAAAGTTTAAAACAACATGTTGGGTCAACGGGGGGGGTTAGCCCCGCCCGTAACATGTGGTCTGTTTTTTTCGTGTTTGGGGGGGGTGGGGGGGGGTGGGGTCAGTTTCATCCTGGTTACGACTCGCGTACATCGTCTACGTACTTCATTGGTCCACCCGGTTCCTTGTAGGTTCGCTCGGTCACGATTCGTTCGCTGGACGACCCGCTTGTCTCGGCTTACAGGACATGACGGGTTCTACTTTGGAGGTTTGTTTGTGTTTGTCGTTGGTTCTGTTGTTGCGTTTGGTCGGTTTGAGGTGCCCTTCCCCCAATGAGCATTTGAAGGTTTTTTTACGGCCGACCCCTTTCTTTTGGACGCTCACATAGACGTTTGTACCCGTGCCTCAGATCCGACTATCTCTTTTGTTCAGGAGGTTGCATTGTTAAACTGTCGTTCTCCGTTACGGTTTGACCGGGACCGCCTGAGAGCAAGGATGAAGTGTTGCCACTCTTGAAGACGAAGCTCTGCAGCACCAAACACATCGTGGGCAGTGACGCTTCGAAGGGCCTTCAAGGTGCTATGAAGGAGATGAACTTGACAGCTGCAACGGCGCGTCACTCCCAGAGCGAGTACACGCCGACTGTGACTCTGAGCAACCGACACCTTCCAAAGAAGGCCCTGCAAGCGTTGAAGCAAGGTAGCTCCATCCGTTCCTCTTCTTCTGCCAGACCCATGCTGCTCGAGAAACAGAGCAAAGTTACGGTCGTTGGTGGAGACCAAGTTACAGAAAGCTTGGCAGCAGTGATGAAAAAATCACTGCGTAGAATGGGTTTGCTTGGCCGTTGCGACGCGAAGCTGCAACGGCAGCACGTTGAAGGCCTCGCAGCGTTGTGGTTCAGCCAACATCCTGGGTTGGACGCAACGCTCGAGGCTGTCAGGATACATAGAGAAGCTGTGCAAGACACTTGTCCGCCAGCTGCCATGTATACTGAGCTGAAATGGCTCCACTGGGACCAAGACTAATGCCTAGCAGGTGGAAAATCACTTTCGCGCCATGGACAAGGAGCAGGCGGGTCGGTGAATACGTCCGTCAAAATGTATTCAACTTATCGTCTTGCAACTCATGAGTTGCAAGACGATAAGTTGAGTGTCCGGAAAGCCACTTTACCCTGTAAAAAACAAGGTTTTTTGACCCTCGTGCGTTGCGTCCGGGGCTAACCCCCCCCCGTTTACCCAACATGTTGCAAAGCCACTATGACACCCTTTCCTGCACTGTCCTTCACTATTGCTGCAGTGCCCCCAAAGTAGCAAAAATCAAGGCTGAACATGACTGCCTTGCCTGCTTCTCCGAACTGGCATCAGTCAGTTGAAAGCAATCTCAAGTTCTTTTGAGTGTGATGTGTCTTTGTTTGGGACCTGGATCTGACGAGGATTGTCCATTTGTCTAAGTGGATAATCGCCCTCACTGCTAACCTGTCTCAGGAGAAACATCAAAACGGTGGTCCTGTTTCGATTTTAAATCTTGTCTTTCCAGTTTGTTATGCTCAAAGCCCAAGGTAGGTAATCAGCCCCAAAAGAACTGGAAACCGTTCTCACGCACTCGCATCTGTCCTTTCCCTTCCGAAGCATCGCTTCTGCTGTGGATGGCTTCGTAAGCTCCTGGTGGACCTGGCGTTGGACAGCAAACTCGCAGCCACCTGGAAGACATGCTGGCTGCTGGCAAACCCCCATGCAGCTGGGCCGACGACATGTTGCAGCTCGCGGCTCAAAACGCCGCAAACCTGGAAGGAGAGTTGCACAAACTCACAGAGGCAAAAGCTGTGCTATTGCTTCAATGCCCTTCCTGGAAGACGGAAACGTAGTACTGGCAAAGCTGAGCCACGGCCTGCCCCATGTTGCTTCCCTTCTACTTCTCAACACCCGTCTGAGCTTGGTCATCGGCCTCACCAATCTCCTGCCATCGATTCTCCAGCGCTTCACTGACCTGTCGGCCTGGTTGGACAGAACAGTCGACAGCGACGCTTCGAAGCCTTCGAACTGCCGAGCGGCCAGTCTCGCTCGTGCAAGAAGCGAACTCCTGAGACTGGCCGCATTTAGGCGATCAAGCGCCCAATAAAAAGGCGGTGTCGAAAGTAGCCCAACAGCTCCTGTTGGCTATCCCGCTTCTTCTGTTCATTTCGGTTGAGCTTCTGTACAAGCGCATGCCTGGCATCGACACAAGAGGTCTAAGAAAGAGCATCCTTTCGTCCACCCTTCCAACCAAAAGCGTCGGAGACACGAACTTCCACCTTTGGCGATCTGTTCTTTCAGCCTTTCCACCTTCTTTTCGTAATGGTCCTGCTCAGCTAAAGCCACACAGGCACTGTGCACATGAGGACCTAATAGGCCTGACCCCGTCAGTGGTATCTATGTCTGGCAAGGCCTGGCTAGACCATGCCACATCACGGGCACCAAAAGACCTGATGCTGCAAGATATTGTTTCATTGACTATACAGCGTTGCTTGACATCCATCCCGGAAACGCACAAGTTCCAAGTGTCGTACTGATGGGCAACCTTGTTGCGTTCAGACCTGCTTCCAGCAAAAGCTCCCCAAACAGTTGCCAGTCGTGAACTCCAATCAAGTCTCTCCCTCCCATCTATTACAACGTGCTTCTCACATCGTGCTTGGTGTACCACCCTAAAAGAAGAGCAAACTGACAAGTGAAGCAACACTGGTCAATTAAGGGAGTACTGATTAGACCTGCTTTGAAAATGTCGGCCCTTGCAGCAAACAACTCGAGGCGCTGACAGGGTCTGCAGTCTTGCTTGCAACAAGTCGAGACCAGATTCACTGTCCTTCGGAATCATGCTGCAGAATCAGCAACCATCACTACTGTCAAAAAAGAAATTAGCTTTTGACGTGCCTGGCCTTGGATTTGTTGGCAAAGTCATTGAGTTGAGTGCAAAGCTTGTCGATTGCTGGGCTGCCTGGCATATCCTGGCCTGGGTGTGGCACATCGTGGCACCCAGGTCAAAGGGTCCAGGAATGTCCGTTTTTTCGGTGTTCAGTGGCGACGATGGGCTGCATGGGCCACTCAGGACTGTGCCATAGAAGCGGGTCAGGGGATCGAAAAGTGGAACCGGTGCGGAGGCAAGCCTAGAAAGGCGCGGCACGTTAGAAACCAGGGTCGAAAGACGACTGGAAGCACACACACACTTATATAACAAGCAAAATGTGAAGGGGCAAACGTCGTGATGTTGATCCAACAATGTCCAAGCAAGAAGGAACACCCTGACCCATTTGACCATCTCGCAGTCCTGAAGGTTAGTCTCACCACTCTAAGGAGGCAGCATGTCCACTGCACAGGCGACTGTTTTGGCCTCGCAACTTGTCGCGCTAGGCATCGTGAAGCGGTCCAAGATGGTCAAAGCGCTCTGTGGCTCCAAGGCGGCAACACATGCACTCAAGCTGGAGATGAGCCGGTCCATTTCCAAAAGCTCTGCGCGTTGCTCCTGAAGAGAAAGGACTGTCAGGCGTTGTTCAATCAAGGATAGAACCAACAATTAGAACCAACAATTCAACCGGTCACAGGTCCTCAGATCTAGATGGACAGAATTGATGTGCAAGGAGCCGCACCTCCAGTGGGTCACTAGGCATCTTGGAGGGCCCTGTCATGGCTGTCTTTGCTCGCCTGGCAGAAAGGTGCTGTTTTCGATCCCCTGGGAGAACTAATGCTTGATATCCAGGCACACTACTAGTAGCGATGCCAGGAGCGCCCCTAGTAGCGTCCTTGCTCCTAGTACTGATGCCCTTTCTTCCTAGTAGCGTTCCTAGTAGTAAGGCCAGGAGCCCCTAGTGGCGTCCTTGCTCCTAGTAGTGATGCCCTTTGCTAATGGCTGGGAATACCTGATGGCTCCGGGCAAGGAGAATGTCTGCCAACGTTCTGCCATGGTCCTTGCAAAGAAGTGGCGCCGCGCTTTCGTTTCTGGTTTCACCGAAGTGAAGTGAGCACACAACCAAGTCAAGACACTTCTCAAAATCTAAGAACAAACCAGTCCTGCTTGCGTTCTGCTTGAAATCGGAAGCTTTTGCCAACAAGGCCATGGTGAACGAATTCTTTGCATGCCAAAGGCTCCAGAATCTCCAAAACAATATCACAGCTTCAATTATCCCCTACTGTAGTCTGTGAAGAGAAGTGGTATGATCTATTTTCAGAGGCCGCACTCGCAGCAACTTATTCTTACAAAAGTACTTACAGTATAAACACAGTGCACAGTAATGCAAGGTCATCTTGGTAAATTGAAAGCTGACACATGGCACTGGCGTGAAATGGAAAGCCCCGGCCACTTAAATCTTTGAGCCAAACAAAAATACAAAATGCAGTGGGTGCACCATTTGCAAGCCAAGCCACAAGGTCCGAGCCTTGACTTGCAAGCTAAGCTGGGTCTCTATGGTATGCTATGTCAAACTACAAGTCTGACAACAAAGAGTTAAAACATAAGAAAACATAATGTGTTTGGGCTCCTCAAAAAGGCTCCCTTGAAAGGCACCTTGTTAAAGTGTCCAAACACTTCCTTTTTCTTTGTCACTCACATGACTCGAAGTCCCTGGTGGCCCTCGGCCCTAACTCTTGCACATGCACACCCATTGCGTGGGTCACAACCGACCATAAAGATCGAATTGTCGACTGTACAATCCTTCTAGCTTTTCAGTAATTAGTGAAGCCTAACTTCAATGCTTTCATACTAGGTTCTGGGTATCATGTTGAGCATGATACATCGCCAAAAAAAAAAAAACGCGCCTACAGGGAAGTGACAGTGGCTCTCGTCTGACCTGCTGCAGGACTGCAAACAAAAATAGAAGGGCCGACTATTTTGCAGCTTGAACTGTAACGAAAAGATTTCAAACTCTCTAGGCTAGAAATAGAGCAACCTTCAACAAATACAGCATAGGCTAGGAAAATGCCTGGGATAACTCAACTGCGACCGACCCTGAGATCTACATATGCCATCATATGCCATATACTCCAAAATATAGTCTGAAAGCATCTAAAAGCATTCTAGTGATTGTAGTGAGGTGTGTGGTATGCTTGACAAATGCTTCGCAAATCCTCCACCTGCGGGTACGTGAATTATCTTCCGCACCTGGAGCAAGCTCGAAAGTGTGCCACTTTTAGATTCCTCGACCAGTGACTAATTCTATCAGAAAGAAAAAGCCTTCTGATTATATTTCTTATTATTCATTATTTATTGCTGACAATGGACTTGGCAGTCATATGTTCTTGGCCTCCTGTCTGCCAACCCAAGCTCCCAGGCTTGCTCTGGCCCTTGCCACGCGGTGTGCCAACATGTTCTATGCAGAACAATCGTTTGAGCATCCAGCTGCATGAAGGTGTTGGGCCACACAACATAATGACTCGCCTCAAAGAAATCAAACGTGACGTCTTCGAAACTTGATTGGCATGCTTGGTTGCTGGCAGTCGCAGGCACATGCCTGGGTCAACACCAAAGGTCTCGTTGTCATCACGCCAGTCCAAGGCTGTTCTCCAAGCCAGTGACCTACTCGAGATACTTCTGATCACCCGTGCGGCCCGTGGAGTCTGCACATCTCAGTACCACTCATTTTGGCTTTCAGCAGACTTTAAGGAATACAAGTGCAAGGTACCATGTCTACATGGCAGATGTCAAGTAAGTAGTTGGAAAGTGAGTTGGAGGCTCGCATAGCAAGGCAACAATGGTGTTGCACCTCGAGAAACAAGGCGTTTGATACGTCATTTTGAACGTGTTGCAAGCCAGAAGCTTTCTTGTAGCTGAGTCATGGACTGCCAGGTAGCACGGTACAGGAAGCTTGCTGTGTCCTGGAAATAAATAGGCCAAATCTATACATATATATATATATAGTTGCCATGTGGCTCTGTGCGGAAACTCAATGTGTTTATTAACGATGTCATCCATTGTTCATATACAACAAGGCAAAAAGATTCATTAAAACAAAAAAAAGAAAACTGATGTCATCTGTCACAGGATAATGTCCGTGCCAACCGCAGCGGCGATGGGGTTGCCAAGTGCACCGCTTGTACTGGTGCACGTACATGTGGTGCCTTGGAAGCATCAGAAGCCGCTTTGGACGTCCCTTGGGAACGATGCTTCTGCATCCAAGTGGCCACTTGCAAAGAACCTGATGATCTGGCGAAGCCATAAGGTCTGGCAAGGTTGGCACAAGAAGCGTCAATGAAGATGCTGTGATCAAGACAAGGTAGGGTCGCAGGCTATGGGAAGGCTGCCAAGAGGCACTGCTGCTACCTGGGCGACATGGCTGCGAGTTGGCACAAAAAGGCGATTAAAATGCTAGACTCAGGCTCCTTAAGAAACTACACAGGCGGCTATGGCTAGTACTGTGCCTTCCCCTAAAATATCTGACTTGAACTGCAACATGCCCGACATCGAAATCAAATCGAAATCACAAAACTGTGCTTGCATCTTACAATCTTGTGCAAACTCAGACCCCACATGGAAGACTACTCAACTTTGCCTGCTGGAGTTTCTCTTTGCATGCTGCTGCAACCTGGCAGCAAACAGCGCTACATAGTATAGGGTAGCATCCCACAAGAAAAGCTGGCTATAGCCGCATACCCCCAGGCGTTGAGCAATGGGGAACTCGAAGTCTCAAGAAACGCGGACGTCTGTCGCTTTGACATGTTTCAGCAGTTTTTTTGCACGCAGCAGTTGCAGCCATTTCCGGGTCTGTTTACGCCATCGTTTCCGTGGTATCAGCCTTTGTGGTCGTTTCTGAGTAGAAATGACTGAAACGATTTATGATCGCAATGAAATGTTTGCAGAGCCAGAAAACACAAAAGAAAAATAAGCATGCAAACAACAATACGCCCTGTTGGCGACTGTGAAAGCATCTATGGCATTCACAGCAGCCGACCAGCAGCACATGTCACAACCTGGACGGCACCCTGCTGGTAGAAGATGATGGCAGGATACATGTGAGACGAAATAAGACCGCTTTCAGAGTTCTAATTGTGAAGCCAAACACGTGGCGTGTCACAAGAAGTAGCCGGTGTTGTGCTGGAAAGCGTCATCATCTTGGCTGAGAAGCAAACAACAGATCAACCTAGTGATCCGCATGTTCAGCGGAATGCATCTGGTATTGTCAACTTCATTTTGCGGTGAATGCCTGATCCATCCTTTGGGAGAATCAGCATGCGACTCCGTGGCAGGACGCTTCTGTGGGGCTGACGAACCGGTCCTCTGAAGGAACCAGCGTACTGCACAGGCACATCTGAGTATCAGTTTTGGAGTTCTTGAAGAATCGGGAAAGCTACGTTCAAATAGCAAACATTGCTCCTAGTAGTAAGGCCAGCGTCCTTGCTCCTAGTAGTGATGCCAGGAGCCCCTAGTAGCGTCCTTGCTCCTAGTAGTAAGGCCAGGAGCCCCTAGTAGCGTCCTTGCTCCTAGTAGTAAGGCCAGGAGCCCCTAGTAGCGTCCTTGCTCCTAGTAGTAAGGCCAATGCCAATACTCATGGTGACAGCAGCAGGGAACAAGGGGAACTGGGTCAGAACCAATCGGAGCGCTACAGAGAGGTGTTGAACCAATCGGGCCAGCACGGTTTGGACCGTACCCACACATCCTGTTGCTGCTGGCAACAAATGCCTCCCTGGTGAGAAGTAAGTCCGTGTGACACAATTCAAGAATAGAATGTCACCTATCTGGCAATGTAACAATACCACGTCAACACCATGAGTTTTCTCATAAAATAGATGTCCGAGTCCGGGCCTTGTGGAGGGCTGGCATGACCTCTATGGTCACAATGACCATGGCGTGCATGGCCTGTCTCAATCTGACCAGTTGATTCAATACAGGAACAAGAAGCTACGTTCTAATAGCAAACATTGTTCCTAGTAGTAAGACCAGGAGCCCCTAGTAGCTTCTTGTTCCTAGTAGTAAGGCCAGGAGCCCCTAGTAGCGTTCCTACACATACAGGATCTCGAATCCTGGTGCTTTACTTGCAGAATCCGCCCTCTGTCGAATTTTGTCTCGGTTCTCGGTTCTGTACACTGCTCAACTGGGAGCAAAGGCGGCTTTGGAGGCCTCCGACACACCACATACATCTCTCATATTCAAAACTCCCCGGATAGGGGGGGCGTAGTCATCCTGCCGGAATCCCTCCTCGTCTTGAAGTCATCCCTTTGATCTACAACTAAGTGTTTGAAGCCTGACACACAGAATATCCAATGACCATGGTATGCGATTCTACTTGGCCTCGGAATCTCAACTGCAGCTGCCGTGGCCATGAGAGAAGCACTCTTCATCTCTTCACGTTCCGCAGTTGTAGTAGCGGAAGCTGCTGCTGGACTGGGTGCGTTTGCTTTGGTGCCCATCTTGTCCTTCTCAACAGGTACGAAGGAGTCACCTCAAAACAAGTTCAACGAACGTTCGAATGAATGTTACAACTGATACCCCTCAGCACACCCCGCCTGGAAGCTTCCGTCGCTGTGGTGTGGGCAGCATGCGCACCTAGAAAAGAGCCAAATCAAACAATGGAACATGCTCTCTTCAATCATGCTTGCATTGTTTTTTGCAGTTTGATCAATTCTGACTGCGGCAGTTTGCAAACATGAATATCTTGTGCCTGCTGCAAACTGACCGCTCTTTTTGGAGATGAGCATGTATTGTCTGCATTGTCTGCCTCGAGCAATTCTCAGACGTCGTGAGGTGAACACAAGCGAAGCTGCTCAGATGTAGTCAGAATCTATGCACGCTGCATGCTACTTAAAGACACTAAATAACACCAGCATAGATCCCAAACAACTTCAACACGATTCGCTTAGACCAATATTATATAGTCAAAAAACGATTTCTTGGTATGCCTTAATTACTTTCACCCCAAGAGCGAACTGCTTCATCAATGAATTCTTGTCGGCATTGACATCGCTATTTGTTCG